ATTTACTTATTTTCAGACAAAGGGGAAGGGAGGGAGAAAGAGAGAAACATCAACGTGTGATTGCCTCTCACTCTCCACCTGGGGGACCCCGCCTGCCTCCCACGCATGTGCCCTGACTGGGACTCGAACCCCTGAACCTGTGGTTAGCCACACCAGCCAGGGCTGCTGGTGCTTTTCTTTTCTTTTCTTTTCTTTCCTCCCTTCCTCCCTCCCTCCCCTCCTTCCTAAAAGGGGAAACATCAACGTGTGCTGCGTTGCTTCTCGCGCGCCCCCTACTGGGGACCTGGTCCTCAATCCTGGCATGTGCCCTGACCAGGAACCGAATCTCTGACCCTGTGGTTCGCAGTCTGGCATTCAGCCACTGAGCCACACTATATCTGAGTTCTAAGGCAATACTGTTGTCGTCACGTTGTTCTGACTTGGGCCGCTGGCAGCTTGGGTCACAGCCCATCACTATGGGCGTGTGCTCCTTGTTTAGCCTCTCCTTGCGGCCATCTGTCAGGGAATTTCTCCTGGTGGGTGAGTGCTGATTATCTACTTAGTTATTTAACTTTTTTTCTGGTCACTTACAAGGAATTCACTGCAGGAGCGAGCACCTGTGTGGCGTGTCCATGCTCCATCTCAGCCCGGAAGTCCCACCTCGCCCAGCCCCTCTTCCGTGGTTCCCTGGCCCCAGGACAAGGGGCCAGGCGGTGGGGGTGAGGGGATGGAGCGGGCCCTCTCATCCTCCGGCCCCACAGCCAGGGCATGGAGGTCACGTCCGAGCCGCCAAGCTGACTTCTGACCTTGCAATCCCGGGACACCCGGACGCAGAGCACAGGCCTGGCGGCGCGCACGCTCCTGCGGCCGCCCACAGAGTTGGTCCGCGGGTTTGTTCGTAGAGCGCACGCCAGCCTGCAGGTTGCTCACGCACAGCGACAGCGGCCTTTCCGAGGAGCGGCAAGCGCAGGGCCCTTGGGAGCTGGCGGGTGGAGTGGCGGCGGCTGCATTGCCGGGGGCCTCCTCGCGCCCCGCAGCCAGGCCCCCACCGCTCCAGACCGAGTCCTCGGCTCGCTGCACCCCATGAATCTCACTGAACCCACTCTGGGCTGCAAGATGTGTTTTATTTTGTAGAAATCAACCCAGCTTCTGCTCCCGTGTCTCCTCCTCTGGGGCTGGAAGAAACCACCGCGGGCCCTTCCTCTGGCAAGAGCAGGACCCAGGCGCCTTCGGGCCTCGGGTCCCGCTATCCGCGTGCTCGGCAGCCAGTCCCGGGCAGCGGGAGGAGGACCCCACCCAGAGCTGCTGCCCAGTCCCAGGACGGCCGCTCAAACCCGCCCGGTGGTGTGCCCCCGCCCCGGCACCAGACCTCCGGACCCCGTCCCGCCCGGACCCCGTCCACCGCCGGGACCGATTGGCTCCATGGAAAACTAGGACCGTCCGCTCCGCGCCCGGAGTCTCCCCGGCTCCCATTGGCCAGGACTACGTCACATAACACTTAGAGCCAATTACGGTGGTCTGCCTAGCAGATGCTGATTGGCTCAGGCCGATGAGGGTGGGTCCTGGAGCAGCTGCGACGAAGGTGGGGACCACCAGTGGCCTAGTGGCAGCTCCTGGCTTAAGGGCCACTGGTCTGGGGTCCTGCCCTGAGTCCCTTCCAACCTCGGGCCACGCAGATGAAGCCCACACCGAGCCTCGCGGCAACCCGATCCCGTCCCCGTTGGAGCCGCCAGGCTCCCAGGGACCCGCCGCCCACGGACGGGAACCAGCTGAGACTGGCGTGGAGCTGTTTCCAGTGCGGACAGATGGTACAGACCCAGGGTTCGCGGACCGCGCTGGCTGTGCCTGTGGACAGCAGGGTTCGTCTAGCTGCGGATTAGCAGAACTAGACAAATGGTCCTTAATTGCCAGACCTTTAAAAATCTGGCCTGTGGGCCTGGATGGTTAGTAGCTTGTGATGGCTTGTGACTCCAGCAGCTCACCGAGTGCAGGCCTCCTGGGCAGAGAGCACTGCCTGGGGCGCCCGGGGACTGGGGAGAGGTCCTCAGAGCCTGCTGGGGACCTGCCTGCGCAGTAGAGGATGTCTGTGGAGAGTGGGCTCTGCTTTGTCACAGTAGTTAAACATCCAGAAAGGAAAGAAACTGCTATCAGGCAGCGTGGCTTAAAGCAACTTCCTGGACAACGCCACTGTCAGCTGGAGTCATGGTCACCACTGGGAAGCACCCAGGGCAGCTCCTGCCTCAGGCCCTGGCATGGCTGTCCCTCGGCCCGGAATGCCCTCCCGCGGGGCTCCCTCTGGTCACGTCACCCGTGACAGCAGCCTCACCATCCTGTTTCCTGGTCCTGGTTGACATTTTCCATAGAAGAAGTCTCCATTCTGCCTTTGCATTGGTTTATGGGACCTCAGTTACCCTCCGTGCCTGGAACTGAGCCGGGCACATGGTCGGGCTCAATAGACGCCAGGTGGTGCTTTCCCTGGGGCCCTAGGGCCCCGACACCCAGGGCTCTGCCCGCCCGTTGCTGAGGAGGCGCTGGCCAGGGTTTGGGGTACACCCAAGGCGCTTCAGACCAAGGTGGGTCCGGCCGGGCTTAGTGGGGGGAAGCCGCGTGGTGGGTGCCCTGCGAGGAGCAGCCGGACTGGGGACGGCGTGCAGAGCCCAAAGCACAGAGTTGGCTGCAGAGACTTGCTGTGAGTTTTGGGTCCAGACAAGGAGGGTGAACAGCTGCTTCCTTGGCACGTAAAAGGTGCACAGGGCAGCTCAGTGTCCTCAGAGCTGAGAGCCACACCCCACCCCACCACACCCCAGCTGGAAGGGCGGGGAGATGCTTCCCTCTGCACCCAGACCCCTGCATCTGGGGCTGGGGGAGGGGCGGCGCTGGCTGCCTGGGGTCCCTTGGGGCACAGCTTGTGTGTCGGGGTCCCCGGGGCAAGGTGGGGATGAGTGTGGCCTCTCTCCTTGCTGAGACTGGATGGGCTTTGCTGGATGCTCCCTGTGTTCTCCCAGGCAGCAGTAAGAAAAATCTCCTGGAACCCAGACTCCCCCCTCCTGGAGAAAGAACCCCAGGAGTGGAAGTCTAACACCCTTTTTGGGGACTCAAGTAGCTACAGCACCGTGGGGTGGACTTGGGCACAGGAGGGACCTGGGCGGGGTCCACAGGAGAGACAGTAGGGCGGTTCTGTTGCCGGTTTGGGGTTCCCCCGGTAAGCAGGTCCCACTAGTACCTCAGCCACCTGGGCCCCAAAGGGCAGGCATTCCCCCTGGCGTGGGGGACCCAGAGTGGCAGTGGGGCACCAAGGCCCCCCAGAGTACATAGGAGAGGGGCACCTAGCACAGGACAGACCAGGGGCAGCCCCTCAGGGAAGTGCAGGAGGGGCCCAGACCCCTAGGGCTGGGGTAGCTGTGGGGAAGGAAACTCCTGGGAAGGGTCTTGGAGATGGGGGGGGGGCGCTCACTCTGGCTGGGGCCGCCTTAGTGAAGGGGAGTCGGGTCAGGGTGGTGGGGAGACCCCACTGCTGCCCCAGCCGGAGGGGCAGGTGCTTCCTGTCTGGCTTGCCCAGGGACAGCAGGACCTCGCCTCCTGGGAGGAATCAGGACTCCAGAGAGAATGTCTACATGGTATGAAATCACGGTGTTGTTTATTGGCTGTGATTCCATCCGGAGAGAACACACGCAGTGCCCCTGACATGCGGGAGGAGGCACAGGCGCAAGGACAGACAGACGGACGACATCCAAGGTCTACGCTAAGCTAGGCTGCCCTGGCGCCCCAAGTGCTGGGATTGGGATGCGGGGTTTCCGCCGGACAACCCCCTGGCCACGCAGAGCTGGCCTTCGGAGGTGTGGACACGGGCATTTAAAAGACCGGGAGGCGGGAGGAGCGGGTGCACAGGGCCCCGCGGGTGGTATTGCAGTCTGGTTGCTATGGCTTTTCCGCAGCAGTGTGGGGCGCACCCGGCCACAGCGGGTGCAAATGGCCCGGGGCCAGGCCACCGGCTTTCTGTCCAGATAAACTCCCCAAACACATTAGACCTTTACCTGAGATTCAACACATTGTGATGCAAGTTACCCATGACAGGGGACAAAGCAGGGCTTGGGGAGGCCACAGTGTCCCGCAGGAGGGAGGGGCAGGGACACACCGCCGGCTGCCCCGCGCTCAGGAAGCAGCGGGCTCATCCTCCCCTGCACCGCTGAGGGGGCCGGGGTTAAGGGGTGGCGAGCCGGCCTCCCCCAGAACAGCCTCGGAGAGGATGGTGACCACCTGGGACGGGGGGCGGGGCAGGCCGGCTGGGCCCAGACTGAGGGGAGCTGACCTACTAGGGTGCGTACCACCACTCTGGGGGTGGGGGCTTCCCCCCATTCATATTGCTTTGTTTCCCTCAGCTTAGAAAAGGGCCGTGGCGTTCAGAAGAAGCAAAGCCTTCGGGAGGAGCGAGCCAAGGGGGAGGGAAGGACAGACAAGACGGACGATGAATGCGATGGGTTCAGACGGAGGTGGGTGGGCAGCCAGCGGATAGGCCTCAGTGTGGGAGGAGGGGCTTGGGGGGTCCAGGCTGATCCGGACGGGGAGGGGCTAACCACCCCTGCCCTGAGGTTGGGGCCCAGATACCTGCCACTGCCCTTCCCGCCCCCTCCCAGCCCGCACGATGCCCCCTTCCCCCACTATGGCTGTGCTCCTGAGTTTGGGGCCGGACAAGCACGCATCAAGCGCTGAGGGGTGGCCAGTGGCCCGGCCTCAGACGCTGCTGGGTGGACGGTGAAGGGCAGGAGCGATAAGGGGGTTCCAGGCTCTGGGGAGTGCGGGGGAGGTCCAACCGTCCCGCTCCACAGGAGCCCAGAGACTGGACCCAGGTCTCGGGCACGGACCACAGGAGCCTTGGGGGTCAGCCCCCATCCCACCTGGCGGTGCGTGGCCGTGCACGGAGGGTAGGGGCGGGCGGAGGCTCCTGCGGGAGGGGCGTGGGGCGCAGGGATGGGGGCTATGGCTTATTTCGCACTGGGGCTGCACTCTGCTCCTGACCTCCCCAGGGGCCTCCGAGGGGCTCGGGCAGGGGGTGGGGGAGGGCGGGGCGGGGCTCGGGCGCGGCGGGCATTACTTCTTGAACATGTCCTGCAGCGGCCCCGGCAGGTACTTGATGACCGTGTCCAGGATGCTCTCGTCCTCCGCCTCTGGCTCGTCCCCGCAGCCTGGTGGGATGGCCTTCTTGGGCCGCGTCAGGCTGCCCTCCGAGTTGGCCTCCATGGCAGCCTGGGCCTCTGCCTCGCGCTCCTCCTTTTTCTTGATTCCGTACTGTGGGGACAGCGCTGGGTCAGGGGTCCCCGCAGGCCAGTGCTCGCAGGACCTGGGGTGGTGGCAGGGCCCTCGCTGCGGGCCTGGGCGAGGAGCCTGAGGAGTCCTGTGCACCCGCAGCTAAGGGGGGCCCCACCAGCAGCCACCGGGACGTGGGAAACAAGGGGAAGTCCCCGTCCATGAGGGGGCCCGGAGGGGACTCCCGGAGATGCGGGCAGGAGAACAGGTGTAGGGCATCTTCCTATCCGGGGGCGTGCGGGCGTCCTGAGCCTGGCCCTGTCCCCAGCGGTGCCTCCTTGAGGAACCCGCACCACCCTCAGTCTGGCCTGGGCTTGTTACAGGAGCAGCCAGACCGGGAGCCTCGGCGGAGAGAACCCACTGCTCTGTGGCTGGCTGACCAGACCCTCGGTCCCGGTCTGGACGGCCACACTGTCATGCCTGGCCAAGTCTCCCTGGACACAGCCATGACCCCAGCCCCTGGAAGACCCCTCTGCACTCCGTGAGCAGCTGGTGGAGGGATGTGACCCTCAGCCCATACTGCTGGCTTCCTGTGTGTCTGCCCTGGACCCTGCCCAGGTCTCACTTTTGTAGTAGACCGTTCCCCCAAATCCACGTCACCTGGAGCCACGGCCGGGCAGCCCAGGGGTTAGGGCATCACCCCTGCCGATCGCTGCAGGCGCCGTTACCGGTCCGGGCGCACCCGGCTGTGGGCCTGAGCCCTAGGCAGGTGCGTACAGGAGGCAACCTCAGGATGTTTCTGTCCGTCCCCCCCCCGCCCCACTCCCTCTTTCCCTAAAATCAATAAATATGTCCTCAGATGAGGATTAAAAATATTCCTTAGCCCTGGTTGGTGTGGTTCAGTGGATCGAGTGCTGGCCTGTGAACCAAAGGGTCACTGGTTCCATTCCCAGTCAGGGCACATGCCTGGGTTGCAGCTGGGCCCCCAGGTGGGGGTGCACAAGAGCAGCTGATCAATATATCTCTTGCACATCAATGTTTCTCTTCCTCTTTCTCCCTCTCTTCCCCTTTCTCTAAAAACAAATAAATAAAATCTTTTTTAAAATCCTTAAAAAATAAAATAAAATGCATCTGTGTCCCTAGAGCCTCAGAATGTGACCAAATGTGGGGAATAAGGCCTTTACAGACATCGTTAAGGCAAAACCAAAAACGAGACAGCCCTGGGCCCTGAGTCTGACGAGCGCATCTGTGAGACACAGAGGAGGAAGCCGCGTGGAACCCGACAGGTTGGCACAGGAGCCGAGGATGCTCAGAGCTGCCAGTGCCCCCGAAACCAGCAAGCACAGGGGAGTGTCCTCTCCGTCAAGCTTCAGAGGGAGCACAGTCCGGCCTCCAGGCCTCTGGGACCCCGGGGCAGGCTTCTGGAAGACCAGTACAGGCCCCGTCGGCCCGTCAGCGTCCTGGCCCCCGGGGACACTGCGGCCCCAGGCAGTCCGGGAGACGCAGAAGGACCTTCTGCCCTAGGGCTGGTGGGGCCCTCACCCAGGGTGAGGCCAAGCTGGCCCCTTGGCTTTGGGGGTCTGGTCACCCACCAGGCTGTGGGTAGGGGCACCTCTTGGTCTGAGGCCCCGGGTTCCCTGGGGGAGCACACAGGAACAGCAGCAGCAGTGGGGGTGAAGAGGTAACGGGGGGAGGCTGTGGGCGTCTGCGGTGGTCAGTCACCAGCAGGCTGCAGGACCCCTGAGGACACACAGGGTCATCTCGAGGGAGTGTTTCTGCCCAGGTCGAGGGCCCCCGGGGGGGGGGCAGGAAGGCGGCCAGAAACAAGGGCAGAGCAGAGAGAGCTTCTGTCCCAAGGGGCAGGGAACCCAGCAGCCGCCTCCTGTCCAAGGACGTGTGTGCGCCAGGGTGGCGCAGGACCCTGTGCTGCCCCAGGACACCGTGCCTCCCAGAGCCTGCCCCTCACTCACAGCAAAGGTGAGTGTGCTCAGGGGACATGCGGTCCTGGTGGGAACACAGTCGGGAACGTGGCACGGAGTTGAGCAGAGGAACATCCTCCCGGGTGGAGGGACCCTGTCTTCAAGCAGCTGGGGATGCTCCCCTGTGGGGTCCAGGAGACGCCCCCGGCCCCCAGCCCAGTTGCTCTGGAGGCTCGAAAGCTTTCTGAGGTTCAAGCCACTCACTCCGGACTTGACCCAAGGGTCCTCGTTACTCTGGCGTGAGGCTCCTGAGCTGTGGTGCACCCCAGAGCGTGGCTTGACCGGCTGAGAGCCGGCTTTTGCTGTCCACCAACAGCTGTTTACCAGAGACGCCCAGACGCCAGCCCCAGAACAACACGCCCTGTGGCCGGCAGGGAGCTCCCGGCGGCCAGTGCCCCGGGCGATGCGGCGAGCTCTTTGGGACCGGCCATCATGAGTGACGATCGGCGACCACCACCACTCTCTCACCAGCACAAACCTCCAACTGGCCCAGTGACTTCAGGGGCAGGGAGAGGGGCAGGTTGCTGGAACCCGTCAGCTCGGCGCGGGGAGGGTGGCTCCCCGTCTCAGAGCCGAGGAACCCGGACCCGGAAGCCCCAAATCCGGCGGCGAGCAGACAAATCTGAAGGTGGGTATGCAAATCAGGAAGCACGTGGCAAACCAAGAGGCGCACGTGTAGATGACGCGCAGGGGGGCCCAGCTGCCCTCCCACCTGGGCCCGCGCACAGGTGGGCAGCGGGAGGCTCTACCAGCCGCCTTCCGCTTCCCTCCGGTGAGGTGGCCCGGGGAGCTGGACGCCGCTCAGCTCCCAGCTGATGGGGCCTCGGACCCCGCAGCTCAGCGCCCCCTTCGCTAACCGTTCCCCACGGGTTCTGGGTGCGGGGTTGGGGAGGAAGCAAGGGACGGCGAGGGCCACCGGGGGAGGCACACCTGCAGAGCAGGAGGGCTGGGGGCGAGTTACCTGGGCCCGGCCTAGCAGAGAAGGGCTTGGGGCCCCGCCAAGATGGAGGCCTACAGGTGGAGGCGCCGTGCTTCCTCACACGACCAAGTTCAGAGACAACTAAATAATAGCAACAGAAAACACAGCCAGAACACAGAAAATTGAACTTTTTGGAAGTCTGATAATGACAAATTCTTCAGCCTGACCAGTAAGAGGGACGAAACCAGCAGCTGGCAAAGCGGGGTTGCACAGGAAAACTCGGTCGGACGGACTCAGGCGAGCAGAACCCAGGCGCAGGGTGGGACCTAGTGAGCGAACGAGGGAGCGACCGCGGGGAAACAGCCAGGGAGCAGGGCTGCGGGTTGACTGTGGTCGCGCCTTCGTGTGTGGATAGACAAGCGAGGGAGTGGGCGATTGGACGAGAGCCAGCAGCGCCAGTAGCCCCAGCGGCAAGCGGCAGAGGGCGCCACCATTTCCCCGCTATGAACCCGCCTCTACGTACAGCGTCATAACCCAGCGACCTAAGTGGCCCGGCCCCGGTGAACCATGTAAGGCGCTGCTCCTCACCCAGCTGTGAGAAACAGCAGAGGGGGCCGCCATTTCCCCGCTATGACCCCACCTCCACATATAGCGTCACAACCCAGCGACCTGGGAGTCCAAGGCTCCGCTCCTCATACTTAAAGAGCACAAACAGACCAAAAATGGCTCAAGAAGATCTCAAAGCCCCAGAGCGTATAAATCTAAGCCATGAAGAAATAGCAAAACTCTCAGATGCATAGTTTAAAACACTGGTCATCAGGATCCTTACAGAACTGGTTGATTATAGCCACAAATTAGACAAATATATGAAGGCGAAACTAATTGAAATGAATGGAATTGCACAGGACACCAATAGTGATGAAAAGGAAACTGGGACTCAAATCAATGGAGTGGACCAGAAGAAAGCAAATAATGGCCAAACAGAAAAGAGTCAAGAAGCAAGAATTCAAAAAAATGAGGAGAGTCTTAGGAACCTCCAGGACATCTGTAAATGCTCCAACATCCGAATTATAGGGGTACCAGAAGGGGAAAGGCACAGCCACCAGTGGAAAACTTATCTGAACAAATAATAAAGGAGAATTTCCCCAATCTGGCAAAGGAAATAGACTTCCAGGAAATCCAGGAAGCTCAGAGAGTCCCAAAGAAGTTGGACCCAAGAAGAAATACACCAAGACACATCATCATTACATTAGCCATTAGATTAAAATGAAGGAGAGAATCCTAGAAGCAGCAAGAGCTAAGGGGACAGTCACCTACAAAGGAGTTCCCATCAGACTGTCAGCGGATTTCTCCACACTTGATCTTAGCCAAAAGGCCGAGAAGCGATGTCAGCGGATTTCTCAAAAGAGACCTTACAGGCAAGAAGGGGCTGGAAAGAAGTATTCCAAGTCATGAAATCCAAAGACCTACAACCAAGATTGCTCTATCCAGCAAAACTTTCATTTAGAATGGAAGGACAGATAAAGTGCTTCTCAGATAAGATCAAATTCAAGGAGTTCATCATCACCAAGCCCTTATTATGTGAAATGTTAAAGGGACTTACTAAGAAAAATAAGTTAAAAAAAAAAAAAACATGAACAGTGAAAGGACAGCAAACTCACAGTTATTAACAACCACACCTAAAACAAAAGCAAACTAAAAGGACAGCTAGATCAGGAGTGGAAACATAGAAATGAAGATCTCAAGGAGGGTTAGCAACAGGGGAGTGGGAGGAGGAGAAGGGGGGAGAAGGTACAGAAAATAAGTAGCATAGACAGTAGGTAGAAAATAGATGGGGGGCAAGAATAGTAGGGGAATATGGAATCTAAAGAACTTGAGACACATGGTCATAAACTAAAGGGGGGGTAATAGTGGGGACGGGGGGGTAGGGTGGAGGGGAATGAAGGGAGGGAATAGAACAACTGTAACAGCATAATCAATAAAAAAATAAATTAAAAAAAAAAGAGAAGGGCCTGGGCTCCCGATGACCTTTCGGGGGTGAGGCGGGGGGGCGGAGCCACTGGGCGGTGCAGGGGATGCCGCGGGGCGGAGGCGCCAGGCCCTAAGCTCCCCACCAGGGGTTCCCCCCCCAACACCCTCTCCCCTCCCTGTCCGCGCTTCCCCTTTGCAGGGCCTGTGGGGCTGAACCGCGGGCTCCTCGCTGGGAGGGGACCAGGTTTTGGAGGCGCCGCAGCGGGGAAGCCTGGGGCTCCAGGGTCCGGAACCTGTCAGCGCTCTCCGGAGCTGCGTCTGACGCAGGAAGGCGAGGCAGGGGGGGGAACTCCAAGGCGATTCTCTCTGCCTCTGTCTCCCTTTCTCTCTGCCTTCCTCTCGGCCTCTGTCTTCTTACCACCCCCGCCCCACTCTCTTCCTTTTGTGCCCCAGCACAGCACCCGTGGGGTCTGGTTGATGGTGCCCATTTCCTGGCTCTTCCCCAAACAGTTCCTGAACGCGGCAGGGCCATGGGGAGTGGGGGGGGGGCACGGGGCTTAGGAGTGGCAGTCCCCAGGGAAGGACCCCCCCCCCCCCCCCGCACTGACCACTCGTGAGTCCTGGCTTTCCCACCAGCCTCGGGAAGCTGGCCATTTCCGGATCGAACCAAGGCAGAGCCCAGCAGCTTCTCCATCCTGCATCCCAGCTGGTGCAGGCCAGCCACCGTGGACGACCTCTCTGGAAGCCTACCAGACCCCCACCCAGCCCCAGCTGAGGGTTTCATCTACAAAGGCCGGGGCCACCCAGAGCTGGGGGCCTGGAGGTTGGGGTCAGGAAGGAACCCAGTGAAGCATCGCGCCCACGCCGCACTTCCCAACAGGGACCTTGATCCAGAGACACTAGTGCCGTTGATGGGGGAGGCCCAGCCTGGGAGGGGCTGGGGGCGGGGTCAAGCACCTCAGATGGCACGGCCTCAAGGACCTTGGGAGGCTACGTCATTCACTGGACAAGTGGGCTCACCCTTCATGCCACGGGAGCCCCCACCCCAAGGACGGGTCGTCAGGAGCAAGAAGGCCTGGGGGTCCCCAGAGTGCACTGTGATCCCTAGCGAGCCTGTGTGGCAGATGTGAGGTCCCCTGGGGTGCAGGACCTCACTTGTCCTGCAACCCCATGGGACCACCTCCCAAAGCTCCTGAGTGGATAAGCCAAAGGTCTGTCCGGTGCAGCCAGAGGGGTGGAAAGGGACCTCAGGCTCCACACAGCCCCTCCCCGGGCAGTATGTCTCCATCCAGGGCGGGTCCCCAGCACCCAAGCCCAGCCCTGCAACCCCAGGGGTGAAGGCTCCCTGAGTCAGTTCAGGTTCAAGGCTGTCCTCCCAGTGGGCGGGTGGGGGGCTCCCCTGCCCCCAGGGCCCAGCTGTCCCTGCCCCAGCTGGCCGGTCCCCACCTTGTCTCGGATGCCCTGACGCATGGCCTCACGCTCCGCCTCCATCTTGGCGTACTTGGCCTTGCGCTCCTCCTCCTCTTGCCGCAGGGCTTCCTGCCGCTCCTCCTCCTTCTTGGCGGCGTCAGGGTCCTTCTCCTCCTCACCCCCGAGCATCTTCCCCATGTCCTTGGTGGCCCCTGGGAACAGAAGAGAGTGAGCCAGGCAGCCCGACATGGACAGCCTGCCGGGTGGACGCATCCCAGCAGGGCTATGGCACGTTCTGTCCAGAGAGGGACGCGTGGGTTCGTGTGTGGGGGTGTGTGGAGGGCCGCACAGGTTGTTTGTGAGGAAGCAGGATTGCGTGTGTGTGACTGTGCTGTGGTTGTGTCCCTGTGTGTGCGCACACACGTGTCTCTGTGAGCCTCTGGAGCAGGCTGGTGTGAGTCTCCCCTGGGACCTGTGTCCAGCCGAGGCTCAGCCTCCGAAGGTGCTGGAGGAGTGGCTGAGCGCTGGACCATTGTGGGTGGCTGCCGAGTCTGGGCACTCGGGGCCTAATCTTTCCCGCTGCGCCGGCCACCACTGTTCTGTCGGGCTCCTGATCCACAGGCAACACGGGCCCGTCCCCGGACGCCCCTGTGTCCTGTCCCACAGGGCAGTGCTGTGGTTACAGCCTCGGATTCCAGAAGGCACCACAGTGAGCCTTGGCCCTTTGGCGGCTCCGGGGAGCAGAGCAGCAGATGTGCCCTTCACACTGCATCCCCAGGGCAGCAGAGGGGGCGGCACTGAAGGTCAGCATCACTAACCGCCCCCCTGCCCCCCCCACATGGCCAGCCGGCCCACCCCACCGAGGAGACCCCCCTGCTCCCAGTGACAGCGGCTGCCCCCTGATCCCTCACGAGCACTGCCCCAGGCCAGCCAGGCAGGTGCCTCAGGACCAAACCGTCTGTGTGCTCAGGTGCCCACACAGCATCTCCAGAGGTGCCCATGCCCGCCCCAGCCTGGCTCGAGGCCCAGCCCAACCCGCTTCCCTCAGAACGAAGGCAGCGGCCCCCTGTGCTTGGCGCTCTTGGTGCTACTGGGCTACTACTGTTCTACCTCACCGGGTGGCAGGGCCGAACCTGGACAGGTCCCCTTTCCTGCAGGTTTGTCTGCTGGACGCAGCCTTTGCAGGCCAATTGCTCAGGAGCGCCCCCTCCCATGCGCGGAAGGCATAGTTCGGAAAGCCACCGCTGTGGGTGGAAAACAAAGCAACTTTGTGGCTGAGCTCCGGGCTGAACACCAGCTGCCTGGGGCTGGACCGTGCAGATCACACAGGCCTTCCTGGCTGCCGGACACTTCTGCCGGCAGGCCCTGCCCCGGGTGCTTGGCTGTGGCACAGACCCAGACAGACTGACACCCCCAGGGCTGGTTCTCAGCCACATCTGCAGAAATTCGAAAAGCGGATTCCAGGCCAATGACCAGGGAAACTGGGTCATAGAGTCGCTGACACGCTCTCCAGCCAGTTCCCCTGGTAACCAGGCCAGGCCCACGCGGGGGCAGGGAGGCAGGGACAAACCCCACCGCCTGGCCGCCACCTCCCAGCCCTCCCCGCCTCCTCCCTGGCCTGCGGGTGCCCGTGGCAGGTGGTGCCTTGTGCATTGTTCTCCGCATACAAGAAGCCGGCCTCTGGAGAGAGGCCCCGGGAAAGCACAGGTGAGTTGACGTGGAGGTGCGAGCGGGCCATCCGCCTCCCTCCCCTGAGGGGAAGAGCAGTGGCCAGTGGGGGGCCGGCGAGGCCACACTGACGTGGCGGGCTGGGTCCCTGAACCCACACACCTCACGAATCACAAGGCTGTCGCTCTGGCAATTGTAACAAGCATTTATTGAGCACCGACTGTGTGCTGGGCTCTGCAACACTGGCCTTTGGGTCTTGCCCGGGGCCCTCGAGTGCCACCATCCCCGGTGTCCACCTGAGCTCTGGGCTGGTCCACTGGCCAGAGGGGTCAGGGAGGGTCTGGCAGCCCAGCAGAGGGCGGGGCATCGGGGAAAGACTGGATGACCTCTCCTGGGCCAGGGGTGAGGGCAGAGGTCACGCCTCTGGGGAGCAGATCCACGCTGGGGACTGGCTGGAAAGCCACTGGCCATGGGCATGGACCGGGCTCTTGGGGCGTCCCCAGCAGAACCTTGGGCAGCCCACAAGCCCTGCCCAGTGCCAAGGGCTTGGAGCCCCGCGCTGGGGTTAGTGGTGGACCCTGTGAGGAACTTGCATGTGCCCTTTGATCTCCCCCTGGGACGTGGGGTCAGGCTGAGTGGTACTGTGGGGGGGGGTCTCTGCCTTTCGCTCCTGGTTCCAAGCAAGAGGACCCACCCCACCGCCTTCCTGAGAGGGTCTGCGGCGGCCTTTGACGGACGAGGAAACTAAGGCACCGCGCAGTTCTACCTGGAGCCCCACGGCCCGGGTGTCTGACCGAAGGGGGTGGGGGAACGGGGGTCCTGCGCTGGCCTCGTGGACGCAGGAGGGGGGTCTCCAACGGCAAACGAGTGGGAACGTGAGTCCAGTCCCCGTGGCTGCGTCTGGGAACCAGAGACCCGAGGCCTCCACATGGCGAAACGTCAGGGGCCGCAGACTCCCAGGAACACCCGCCACGCCCCCGGGTCACATGGGACACTCCTGTGCCCTGGCCTCAGCCAGGGGGCCTGGGCCGAGGAGCTGTGGGCACAGCTCACCACCCAGACCTGCTCCGGGGAGAAGCTGGGGTCCGGTGCCCGGTTCGGCCCGGACCAGCGGCCTGCTGGGCGGAAGGAAAGCGGAGAGGCAGGCGGGGCTCGGACACTCCTGAGAGTGGCCGCCGACCGAGGGAACCACGCGACCGGAGCGCTCTGGACGCGCTGTCCTGACACGTCTGAGAACTGGAATGAAATGGCCTCTGAAAAATGTCTAAACTGAGAACGATGTCTAAGAATCCACAGACGGAGCGTTTCAAACAGTCAGGAAACGCAGGTCCAGTGGTATTTAGAGTGTCCTTGGAAGGGAGAAAAAAGGAGGAAATTCCATAGTTCATTTTTGTGAAATCAGCGCAAGAATGATGCCAAAAATCAGCGTAGAGAGAGAAAGACAGAGAGGAAAAGAAGAAGAAGAAGGAGCAGGAGGAGGAGGAAGAAGAGGAAAGGAGGAGGAGGGCAGGTGTCCTCCAACAGCAGCTCCTCAGAAGGGCGCTCCTGCTTCCCCGCGCTTCCCAGTGGGAAGTGAGAGATTTAACCTAATAACCCACCAGGACACACAGGGAAGGGAGAGGGGGACAAAGCCACGCAGGCACCACATTTTGGGGCTGGGTTCCAGCAGTGGGCGGCGTTAGGCTCTGGGGGCGGGGGTGGGGGCCGCGACGGACAGGCTGAGGTCCGGCCCCACGCTGGGGCCCCGCCGCCAGGCAGCAGCAGGGAATCCAAGTTGTTTCCCTGGAGAAGCTGAACCTGAGGCCCTCTGAACGCAGACCAGCCCTGGCACTGGGGGCAGAGGCGACGGGCCCACCGCACGCTGGGGTTAGGCGGGCGCCCGTTTCCTGAGAGGCCCCGCCCGGGCCCTGCCAACCCGCACGTCCTGTTGTCGGCTGCACAAAACCCCTGAACAGAAAAGCCGGCACGCACACCCCGCAGGGAGCCCAGGAGGCCCCGCCCGCCACAAGTGGGGAGAGAGGGGGTGTCTGGGAGAGCGACAACAAGCCATGGCCTGGAGCTGAGGGACGTGCCTGCGGGGAGGACGAGAGACCCACAGTGAAGTCTTGAAATCCTGGCATCTCGGAAAGCCAGGAGGGTGGGAGGAAAACCGTGAGAGCCCCCAGAGAGAGGGAAAGGTCACGTGAAGGCCCTGGAAATAAAAATAGCACTTGGCTTTTCCACAGCAGCTTTAGGGTCTGGAAGTGCATGGAAGAAAGACTCCAAATGTTGAAGGAAACTGTTTTGAATCTGGAATTTTGTACCCAGTCTAACCACCTCTCCCGGGTGAGGGCGGACAGGGGCCTCCTCCTGGCCTTCGGAGCCCTCACGTCCGAAAGTTCCCGAGGGCGTGGCCAGGAGGCAAGTGAGGGCCCGACAGCCGCCTCGGATGGCCGTGGACGTGCCAATGTCCTGGGGCAGCTGCTGCGGTTCTCCTGGAGCCTGGAGCATGGAGCATGGTGTTCAGGGGGGCTGCTGGTAGGTGTAGAATAAAGATTCCACAGAAAATCAGGTGGCGACGAGATGCTCATTAATTACAGGGCAAACCGAAGGGTCACTTATGTTCTGAAAGCAAGAGGAAGCTTATCCAAGCTGAGATCAGCAAGGCCAGAGGGGGCCCTTGGAAACAGGATCGGGATGAGCTGCAGCGGCCCCCTGCTCTGCGGGCTGCAAGTCTCGTCGGAGCCCTTACAGCTCGGGGTGGGTTGAGGGTGGAGAAAGTGAAAGTACGGCCCTGGCTGGTGTGGTTCAGTGGGCTGAGCGCCGGCCTGTGAACCACAGGGACACCAGTTCGATTCCCAGTCAGGGCACATCCTGGGTTGTGGGTCAGGGCCCAGACCTGTGTTTCTCTCTCTCTCTCCCCCCTTCCCTCCCTCCCTCTAAAAATAAGTGAATAAAATATTTAGAAAGAAAAGTACACGGCTGAGGGAACGTGCCACCAGGGTCCCACACCAGAGGGGGGCAGCCTGGTGAGCAGGGCCACGAGGTTGTGCAGGGGCAGGAAGGGAGGGGTGAGGTCTGTCCCCAGCAGGGTCCCCAGTCTGTCCCAGGACACCACAGAGGTTCTGAGGGGGCCACAGTGAGCTCCTAACTGAGAAGCACGAGCGGACTTGTCTCGGGGGCGGCCTGCGAAGTGAGTCACTTCAGCCCCATGGCACTGCGTTCAGCCTGGATGAGAACCACACCGTCCCCCCGGGGCCGGGCCAGGGGCAGCAGGAGGTGGGCGAGGATCTGCTCACAGTGCCCGGGACTGGGGTGGGCTGCTTCTGTAGCCCACCCCCAAAGGTGAGTTTCTGTCCACACCTGTCTACAGAACAAACAGAGACCCCTGACGCCTCCCACTCATGGGGCCGAGGGGCCAGACACATCAGCGGTCATAGCTGAGAGCCACTGTGGCCGCCCTGCCCAGCCTCTGCCCCAACCTGCCGCCCCGGCTGGTTCTAGTCAGCAAACAGCAGAAAGAGCTCTGCACAGTCTTGTGCAATTAAAACGGGATCTGAAGGCA